CTTCCAGGACTATGGCCTTTTTATGCCTCCTCTACTAGATGGTGCTGTGCCGGTGCAATTCGCACAGCACACGTCACGAGCCCCATATTGAGCGACAGACACCCCCATGTCTGCCGCTCAGGGTCTCGCTATCAGGGGGGAAGGTTGCGCGCGTAGGCCAGCCTCCTGCGCCCTGGTCTCCGGCGGCGGATTTCCAGGGTGGCAGTTGCCTTCCTTTCTCTCTCCGCAGCCTTCTTCCGGGTGATAATATCCTCGCAATATGCTAGGACAGCACCTCATGCTCTCTCGCTTTCAACCATAGCGCGAACCACGGCTGGCAGTGAAAGGTCGTGCCCCACGATAGCGCATAGCTCTCGGCGCTGCTCCGTCCACTTGAAAGAGCCTGGAGCGATCAATTCATTTCCAGAGTGTGTTATCATTCAAATAATCACTAATACTATAATAACTACATGAATATGAAATGATTTTTTTCCCATTCAATTCCAACGTGTCTATAAATTTCACTTCAATATTGCAATACAAGCGAATTTCATGCATTACAGGCCTAGCAATAAACATATAGTTCATCTATCTTATCACGACCGAAACTTTAGATATGCAATAATTTGCGTCAAATCCAATTTCTACAAATACGTCACCGCAACAATTGGTGATGTCTTCTTGTCCGTTGACCGCCGTTTTTATAGAAAAGGTAATTTATAGAAATTGACTAAGTGCTCCGTAGTGCAATGACGGCTAGAATGAACCGTAAATAGTGCCTATAAATGAATCGAGCGTCGAGATCGCGGAGAAAGGTGGGAAAAATTCCACAGCCGGCAGCCGCAGATTGTGTTACTACGAATGTTACCGCGCTGTAACAAAATGGCGGACACACGGAATTAAATAAACAAAAGCGAAACGTTAAGTAACAATGAAGATATGATGATTAAAAAAGCATGTTAACATGGTAACCAATAAAAACTTTTTGACATTTAATTAGAATTCTTAAATAGTCTTTTTCACAAAAGAAGATTACTGGAACAGGGGATACAATTTTTAATTATTCCCAACTATATTTTTCTAAAATTCCCAACTAGATTCGACAAGGTTGAATTAATCACAATTTTTTTTATGATTCTAGGTTGTTGTTCGATTGTTCTTTTGTTCAATTAAAAACACTTACGTCTAAGTAACAGAAGATGATGACTAATCTGACATGATACTTGTTAATATTTTCTCCGAAACAAGAATAAATATGCTAACTTCTTGAAAGTTCCTACGTGGTATCGGTCCCGTATTACCGTTTGCGATAATACGTTCCTCGATTTTTCTTCTTGTTTCTTCTGCCCCTATCCCAATAAAGTGGGGGTGGCACAACATGTGAATCATGTGTCAATCGTATTGGTTAGGTTTTTTACGATCGGCCGCCTGACTGACGTGAACCATCCTTGGGAACAAATACTCAGATCTGAATCAATTAACTGTGAGTCGAACCCATGACCCTCGGCGACCAAGCCACCGATTGTTTTGTTGTCGTCGTTCCTCGATTCTATAATATTGTAAATATTGCTGATTCTATATAAGGGCTTTGAGTCTGCTAGGAATGCTATTTTGCACCACTGAGAAGCCCGACCTTTCTAAAAGCCAAATTGGCTGTTCTTTTCAAATGACCGCACCATCGACCGTCACAGTATGCGTCAAAATGTGTATAAAAATCTTCGAATAATCTAAAATTGTTCAGTTTCCATGAAAACATACTCATGGCAACTTAGGGCTTCTGTACAATTTTTGTAGCCCAGTCGAGGGCAATATAGACTTTGATTGTTATTCGAAATATTTTTTAAATTAACTATGACTTCCTTGTGAAATTATTTTTATTGGTTTTCGTTTTCTTTTAATCTTTATATCATTCAGTTTTTTTTTATTATTATGACGGACTCAAATAAAGTTTTTTTAACTGGTCACCCTACTAAAAACTCTAGTTCACAGCCGTCAGACAGATTTCGTTATCCGTCGTTTGGAAATCTAACTAAAGATGGAAAAAAAAGCATGACGCCGTTTTTTACTGCAATTTTTCGAAAATGTTCTACGTACTCGTTTCGCAAGATCACAGAATGCGGTTACGCTTCGAGGTCTTTCACAGTTTCTACAGTAGTTATATTAGCAATCTAAAACAATAAAAAAAATTTTAGTGACAATCGACCACAATTGGTGCCCAATTTTAAATAAAAAAAAATTCGTCTATGACGGTACGTTTTAATCCAAGTGACGTAAAAAATAATAGTAAAACTGAAATTAGCTGAATTTTACTTTTATTATTAGTTTGTGTATGTGTATGTTTAAAAGCAAAACTATGCGAAATATGTTTTCGGATGTCTCCTCTTATTTTGGATGACTTCTTAATCGACGTGTGATTCATCTGACATTGGCTTTATGGTGTATTGCTGTAGGTACAAAATAATTTTATCAGTAAGTATAATGATATTTTTTTATTTTTAAATTTGAAGTGCTCTGCACTCTGCACTCAAGATGATATTTAAATGTACGTGTTAGTGTCTGGCACCACCAAAACGATTTTTTCGACAATGTAATATTTATGTTATCATAGTTTTAAAAACCATGATGGGTTATTTGTAATTAAGTATCAATGTACTTTAGCAATTTCAAACAAATCATTTCGAAGTTATACTTCCTTTGGCGCGATAGGGAAAAAATCGCACAGTGTATCGCAAACTCTAAACTTTGTTGGCGACACGAAATTAGTGGATAAATCTCCCAGACGCATAGTGTGAACTATATATTCAATTTAGTTTTTTTTATACGAGAAGGCAGCAAGAGGACTGGCGGTTCCCCTGATGGTAAGCATAAAAAAATCATTTTGGTTATGTAAAAATAATTGGACCACGTTTAAATAAACATTATATAAATTAGATATATACATAGTTTTGTTACGCAAAAGAAGAATAAGTTCCTATCTGCGTACCTACATATATACTATGTACATACAAGTTTTATGTTTTTGGAGTTATACTTCTTTTGGCGCGTTAGGGAAAAATGATGAGCGTAAATTTTTACTATGCGTGCGCACACCGTCACGAAAAACCGACACCCTGAAGTTAGCTAGACACCTACGTATTCACGATGTTTATTTTGTGATATTTAAATAAAATTTATTTAATTAAATAATGCGTTATAATAAAACTTTCAATGTATTAAATACCTTTTTTTATTGTTAGTTTCGTTTTTTCTACAAACGTAGAATAAGGCGAAAGATAAAATTTTTGAAAAGATTTTTATCTTGTTACGCCAAAGAAGTATAACTTCTAACGCGTGTACATAAGTAGAGACACACTTTTTTTAATATTTATTATAATTCGATGTCGATAATCAGTTAGACGGAATAATCGATAAGTTTCAAATTTAGAATTGCCCACGCAAGCTTGTTGCGGGTGAGATTTGGTTCAATCTATGTTACTATAAGCCAAAAATAAAATACCTGTTTGAAAACTAGATCCGGTGCGTTAACGAAATTGATCCGCGAATTCACGACGGGCGGTACCGCCTATTCGCGACTCTCTTTTAATTAGAAACTATTACTATTAAACTTATGTTAACATAGCCGGCTATGGTTACTAGGGAAAGCTATACCAGTAACCGCAGCCGGTTGTCGTGGGTGCATTCGCAAAACATTACCAGTATAATACAGTTTATATTTATTATATTAACATTTCTAAAAGCATCGTAAGCTATCTCAATCATCCTCTGCTTTATAGACAATGTACACTACCAGTACGGCTCTTAAAACTACCACGTTAATCCCAAATTGTATGTTGTAAATTTAATAATCAATACTAAAATACTGCAAAGTACTGAAATTTGTACTCGGAACGGTGAATTAAATCAATTTTCAATCGCCAATTATTAAGCGTTTGCGTCTTAATATTACGCTGCATGACACAGCATCTGTTGCCTAAACCATGATGTAATCGACGAGTAATAAAAAAAAGTGTTGACAGTCTTTTTAACAATTTTACAATCTGTTGTAGGATTCACAAGTAAATGTATCAATTTGTTGAATACATCAATGCCGTCTCCGTTCGGCCCTTTGTGTTTTGAAATAACGTAGATAAGATAAAACCACGTCTGCCTCTAATAAATTAACATCATAAATAGAGTTATTACAGTTTTAACAAACCAACATAAACATAACGCGTGTGCATGTGTGTGTACATTTCGAATGATAAGGCGTCCATTTTTAAAACACAATCTACAAAGTAAAATACCGAACGGCGTTAACTTTCCATACTTTAGCTAGATATAAACTATCGTGCTAAGTATTCCAATAAGGCATTAGCACAGTCGACTAAGTAATTCGCCATACGACGGAATTCGACTTATTCATTCTATTTATTTAAACGAGTCCGACGATTTACAAAACACCGACTCGACGCCGATTCTTATTTCAAATAGGTAATACGAGCGCGCATTACATGCCTCCACGTGTAATGCGGTCAACGTTTTATAATACGATCATTCAAAAGCCACCCAGAAATGGATTTTACGGCATAAAACTTAATAACTCTTGAACATTCTATTAGACACACTCAATTGCACGCTGCTAATGCCGCGCCGCACCGACTACAAGCTGCTACGATTGCCTGTACTCGCGCCTGTTTTCAATTTCTCGGAAATTTTATCTCGTCAACATTCGACGACGCCGAGGGAACCAATACGAGCTGCCCGTACATATAAAAACTGAATTTTTAGATTATCGATTCCGTAAGCCAAAGTGCGGCGACTGTACGATTTTTATGTAATACAATGACGCCCACAAGTGTACTTCACGTCCTTACAACAACTACGCGTACGGGAAGTCGCGCACACCGGCGCAGATTTACATAGAAAAACAGTCGTACTCTCTAGCGTAGCTATGGATATTATAGAGAAAAAAAACTTCAAAATAGCACGGCCCCGCTCGATTCCAAAGGATCGCGTTCGAAATTGAGCTGTCCGCGTACGTCATGCAGACGGTGATAAGGTTCAATATCGCGCGCGCGAGTCTCGCATCCGTCCCTTTCGCGCGGCCGAGCGCTTTCGAGTTTTCCCGTTCGCGTTCCAACTCAAAATACGCCAAAAATGACGTCGGGGCCAAATGTTTCGAAAACAGTGTGCCGCGTTTCCGTCTGCGGGCGTCGCGCGCCCGCTCGCTATTCGTCACTCGAAATTTTCCAATTCCGACGAGCGTGAAGTCGTCTTGTGAGTTTTTCGAAGCGCAAGTTAGTTAGCTGTTTCGCATTTTTCGCGAGCGGGCGCCGAATACGAAAGCCGCTGTCGATAGGGTCGCTTTTCGCCCGCTCGCCTCCGCTAACCGTCCGAGTTAAATCGGTCCATTTATCTATGATTGGAGGCGAACTCGACGGGTCGCTCGAATCGGGCGCGTTTCGACATAGAAAATTCTGACAGCCCGCCACCGTCACGAGAAATAATGTCGTTTTTATTACATTTTTTGATTAATTATTATTCTAGCTGTGATCCAACGACCACTCGGCAGCCTTATCGATTTTCCTATTTAGCGCGCGACTGTATTTTGTACTTTTTCGAAAGGTCCGCGTGCGGGTGTCTAGTCGCTTTCGAAAAACGTTTTACTTATATTTTCTCGCGGCGAACGGACGTCGTGCGCGGTGCCGTAAATTGGTAATAATTTCGTTCATTACACAGTAATACGGTGCTCGAATATGGGTTAGTGCTCCGAAGGGAGTTTCGACACGGTGCCGCCGAATATAGTGCTATGCTTTGAAATGTTTGTACAGTGCGAGTTTTCACTATTTTGTTTGTCTAATAGTTGTGTCTAGTTATCCAGTGCATTCCGTGCGTGAAAGCAAACGGCGGAGTTGAGTGTTTTTTTTATGTTGTGACGGATGCCTGAAGGCCAGAGCGGCTGGTCGCATCGCCAGCGCCAGGGTTTGCCTATCTGGATCCTGTTCTTCAGTGCCGGCTGCTAGCAGCTGCTTAATACAGTGAGTACTCCGTAAAGACATTTCTAGAAAGCTCCAATGAGTTCCTACAACAGATATCTAGATAAAACTCCACAAAAACAACAACTCTGTTCGAGACATAAACTTTCCTATGTCAGTTCGCAATTTAAATACTTCGCAGATTAAAGAGCAGAAGTGGCAATTAATCCTGCTTTGAGCAAAAAAATCTAAACGACACATAAATTCACATCTCGAGCATGTTGCAATTAGCATAGATAACACTAGTAGATACATTTTTATTTAAACTTATTTAAATAAAGATTGTACCTCTAAAATATTAAGATTGCGTCAAGTTTTATCTATTCTCAATCTGCTAATGTTTTGTCCAATGTAACATCTGAAATTTAATTGTTAGAAAATTGTGCATTGTGATGTTTTAATTTTTTTACTCATGTTGCAAAAAGAATATGAGAGTATCTGAAAATTATAGCAACAGTTTTATTTTGATCTGTTATTTACACATGTAAATCTCTCAATATTATTTTAATATTAATGTTTTAAGTTTTCTGGGCTTGAACAATTTCTAATTTAATAATAATAACTAAAAGTATGGGGGACATATATTGCACAGCGTTTAAGTGTGTCCAATTTCACCTTAGTAATGTGTAATATTACATGCTTATTAAATGGTAGGATTTATACTTATGCAATAATAATATTTAATTTGAAATAACAAATCATTTATTACATGCATTGTTTTTAAGTCCAATGTAATTCAAGCAATGTATTTATTTACTTAGTTACTTTACCCAAATACTTTAATTTAAAGAAATAAACGTATGTATTCTTATTTCAAATATTCAAATGAGTTTTTCAAAAATTAGTACCTACTTATTTGTAAGATGTCAATTTTAACTGAAGATGTCTTTAGTTAAAAGGTGCTAAGTTTACTTTGGGAAGTGTAATTAAAGTGACTTTTTAACTTAAACATTCTGCCAAGAGAGTTACAAAACTGATCATTAATAAAAAACATGAACTTTTTAAATTTATTTAGGTACCTATATTTAAACTCACATACTCCTTAGATTTAAAAAATTCTAAATTGACACTTAAGGGGTCTACTTAAATTCTTATATGGTTTGTGTTCATTCAATAAATTTATTAATTTTTAGAAAAACTAAGGTCAATACGCACACCAATAATCTCAATAATAGTTGAAAATTGTGTCAGTAATGACTATATGCATTATTTGGTTAAAGGCATAGATTTTCTTTGCTATCTAATTTGGTTCAGATAAGAATAAACCTGCGTTAAAATACAAATAAGCATTTGGTTAATTGTTTAATGTGTGAGGAATACATATATGACAAAGGTGTGAGATATTTAATTAAATAACCATATAACCATAGAGTACTTATAAAACAATAAGAGTACGTGTAAAACAACAAGAAAATAACTTGTATACTTAAAATGATATGTCATAAAATATTGGTGTCAATGTTTATGCAATATTATTTAACGTTACAGTACAACAACAACTGCTTTTTAGCATTCCACCATGATCTTTTCTTGATCTTACATTTTAACGTTGAATTGGCTTTATTATCATATTGATAATGTGTGTCTATAGCTAGAGAGATATGTAGCAATTTTGAATTGTCCTCAGATGATAATTACACAATTCATTGGATTGGGCTATATGGGCATAACTGATGCAATACTGGTATGATCCGGTCAATATTAAAGGCCCATTTACACGGTGCAAGTTTCTTGCCTGTAGTATACAATTAAATTGAAGCAATAAATGAGTTGCATGGTCTAAACAGCACATAACATTCTTGTCTGTTGAACAAAACATGCTTCAAGTTTTGTTTCAAAACTTTCCTTGGTGTAAACGGCACACACAATAATTTCTTAAGCAATTCTTGTATTCAATTGCATTCTCTCTTCCTTGGCAAAAATTTGTGCAATGAGTGAGGGTATTCAATCATTGCTGTTCTTTTGAGGATAGAAATATTGAGAAAAGGTCTAATCTAAAGGAAATAATATATGGATCATAATAAATAAATCTCAATGAAATATATTTAATCGGCATAATCTAACTTGAACACTTATTATTAAGCCATTTTTTTAAAAAAACAGCCCTTTGTAAAACGTTCAACAATTGCATGAAAAATTTGTCAACGCAAATACGTGCAATACTTGAAGCAACACGCCAATAAATTGTACACGCACATACAAGCCAAAACTTGAAAGCAATAATCGCCTAAACATAATTGCATTGGTGTAAACAAAAGGCCTTTGCAATTATTTCCTGTCAAGACTTGCATACAATAATCGCATTCAATTTTTTTTACTATATCTGCGTGTAAACTGTTGCTTACAATTCTTGATGGTCAATTATTGCGTGCAACTTATTGCATTCAATTATTGCTCTTGTATGTACAAGAAAATGGCATCGTGTAAATGGGCCTTAAATTCATTATTCTCTAAAACCACACTGATATTCAGTGTATATTGCATTTACTGTATTAAGAAATAGAGCGTTTACATAAACATGGGCCAAGGGTTCATTTGATTTCGACCTTTGTTATTGCTAAGCTATTATTTGGTTTTAAAATTATTGTTGTGTAATTAAATGGAAAATATTCAATGATACTCATTACCATTACAAATCTCAGTTTTGTGGCAAATGATAATAGTTTTTTTAGTTTCTTGGAATATAGTATACCTGTCTAATCTGCATGGGGTGGGTCATGTTGGGATTTTTTTAAGTACCTACTTTAATAATATCAATGCAATCAAATAATTGATTATTGAGCAATTACAGTAGAATAAAGAGATATGGAAAATAAATAAGTATTATGATTGTTATATTATGTTATATATATGGCAATAATTTGTTTTTTAAATATTTATCTAGTTTTGGTGTATTTGAAACTTTTACAGTCTTCAGTCTATGAATAAAAGTGAAATTGTGTTTATATGTGTGTGTGAAAGTAATTTTATGCAAATTATTTAAGAATCCGAATGGAGCCGTGTTAGCTTGGTGCCCGGGCGCTCACCTTTTATTTAATATACTCGAGCAGCCTGTGTTCGATCCCCGGTGCCAGCACCAATGAAATTGTCAATTTTAAGTGCTGAATTATCACGTGTTTAGCGGTGAACGAAAACATCGTGAGGAAACCTGCATATTATCGAAATAATAACAAAAAAAAATATTTCGAAGATATGTGAAGTCCGCCAATCCGCAGTGGGGCCGCGTGGTGGACTATGCCCTGATACACTCTGTATAGAGGAGGCCTTTGCCTAGCAGTGGGACATGTATAGGCTGATACTTTACTTTTTATATATGAATCAAATAGATATGGGTAGGTATATAATATTTGGTTGGCAGCATTGTCCATAAGGATATATTAAAGTTAATTTAATGCTTTTTTAATTAATCTTATGTAGATATACATATTTTTATAAAGAAGGGATAATTTATTTTTATAAGGAAAGGGCACACATGGGGCTAATGTTCAGAGACTTTTTTTTTAATGTGAGAAAGTGGTAAACGACCTGGCGGTTCTCCTGATGTTAATTGATAGCCGCCGCCTATTGACATTTGCAACACCCGTAGAGTTGCAGAAGCGTTGCCACATTTTAATAAATTCTGCCCCGGCTACCTCACTCACAAACTAAAAGCTCTCGGATCTTGATCTATCACGGCCTATTTCTAATGCCACGCGAACATATTTTTTATTTCTGCTGTTTTTCACAATAATCTCCTGAAATTGCGTACACTGTACTGTATTAAAATGCGAATCCATTCTTGCGGATTTAATTGTGTCCAATTTAAATTTAAGATTTGCCCTATTAAACGTAAGTATATTTAAAAAGTGTCTTTGGACTGCGGTTGATAATTAATATCTGATGAATCGACAGCTCCCTTGCCACCTTCTCACATAAAAAATTACGAGGAGCCCGTGCCCTTCTTTACCCATCTCTTTTCTATTCAGAAGATCGTCACCATTATCTGTTTTTTAGCGTAATTTTTGAAAATTTTCCTACGTACGTAGCACAGGGTCATTAAATATTTGGGCCGTTTATCCTACCACAACTCGACCCCATTAAGATAGCAGTCATTAACCAAACAAAACTTAACCGCGGTGTATAAACAACAACAACGCATTATCCAATTTCAAACAAAACTTGTAATAGTTTAACAAAAATATCACATGTTTGAATAACCAAGTTGACGAGCGATAGTTATATATAATATATAATACAAATATGCAGTTACGTGCTATGTTTATACTGAAACTAGCTTTTCGCCCGCGGCTTAGCTTGCGTTTTTTCCATTAAAAATAGCCTATGTCCTTTATCAGACTGTGTACCGAATTTCATTTAAATCGGTTCAGTAGTTTTGGAGTAAAAGCGAGACAGATAGACAGATAAAGTTACTTTCGCATTTATAATATTAGTATTGGATTAATATTAGTTATGGATTATATGCTACAACCTAAGTATTCCACTCAGTACATGAACTTATTGTCAGTACTTACTAATACTCAGTTCACGTACTTATATGTACCGAGTATTAGTGTATAATACTTAAGGTTTGTAATGAAAGCCAAAAACTGAGGAATAGGGAAGATGCAATATTTTCGTTTTTGGGTTTATTCGATTGGATTTCATGTAGAATAGACCACTAGCATATTAAAAAATTAAAATACTGTAATTTATTGTAAAAAATGCGGTTTCAAATTGATGATTTAAAT